CTAAGGCTCAGTTAGAATTAAACTTATCTAGAGGTATTAAAGATAACAGGAAGGGATTCTACAAGTACATAGCAAATAAAACACAGACTAGGGAAAATGTAGGCCCCCTCAGGAAGCTCTCAGGAGAACTGGCTACACAGGATTTGGAGAAGGCTGAGGTTCTGAATGACTTCTTTGCCTCGGTCTTCACTGGCAAAGGCTGCGACCAAACCACCCAAGTCTTGGAAGGCAGATGCAGGGACTGTGAGAATGAAGACCTTGGGCCCACTGTAGGAGAGGAACTGGCTTGAGACCATCTTAAAAATCTGAACGTGCACAAGTCCATGGGTCCTGATGAGATCCATCCGTGGGTCCTGAAGGAGCTGGTGAATGAAGTTGCGAAGCCGCTGTCCATCATATTTGAGAAATCGTGGCAGTCAGATGAAGTTCCTGATGACTGGAACAAGGGAAATATAACCCCATTTTCAAGAAGGGGAAAATGGATGACCCGGGGAATTACAGACCAGTCAGTCTCACCTCTGTGCCTGGCAAAATCTTGGAGCAGATTCTCCTGGAAGGCATGCTAAGGCACATGAAAAACAACAAGGTGCTTGGTGACAGCCAGCATGGCTTCACTAAGGGGAAATCCCGCCTGACCAATTTGGTGGCCTTCTATGATGGGGCTACAGAACTGATGGACAGGGGTAGAGCAGTTGATGTCATCTACCTCGACTTGTGTAAAGTGTTTGACACTGTCCCACACGACATCCTTGTCTCTAAATTGGAGAGACATCAATTTGATGGACGGACCACTCTGTGTGTGGCCATGCAGCCAGTTCTTTATCCACCAAGAGTTGTGGTCAGTGGCTCAGTGTCCGGCTGGAGACCAGTAACGAGTGGTGTCCCTCAGGGATCGGTGTTGGGACCGGTCTTGTTTAACATCTTCGTCACTGACATGGACAGTGGGATTGAGTGCACCCTCAGCAAGCTTGCTGATGACACCAAGCTGTGTGGTTTGGTTGATACGCTGGAGGGAAGGAATGCCATCCAGAGGGATCTTAACACACTTGTGAGGTGGGCTGATGCCAACCTTATGAAGTTTAACCATGCCAAGTGCAAGGTCCTGCACCTGGGTGGGACCAATCCCAGGCACAGCTACAGGTTGGGCAGAGAAGAGATTCAGAGCAGCCCTGCAGAGAAGGACTTGGGGGTGTTGGCTGATGAGAAAATGAACATGAGCCGGCTTCAGTGTGTGCTCGCAGCCCAGAAAGCCAACCATATCCTGGGCTGCATCAAAAGAAGCGTGACCAGCAGGTCGAAGGAGGTGATCCTGCCCCTCTACTCTGCTCTTGTGAGACCTCACCTGGAGTATTGTGTGCAGTTCTGGTGTCCTCAACATAAAAAGGACATGGAACTATTGGAACAAGTCCAGAGAAGGGCCATGAGGATGATCAGGGGACTGGAGCACCTCCTGTATGAAGACAGGCTGAGGAAGTTGGGGCTGTTCAGCCTGGGGAAGAGAAGGCTGCGTGGAGACCTCAGAGCAGCCTTCCAGTATCTGAAGGGGGCCTATAGGGATGCTGGAGAGGGACTCTTCGTTAGAGACTGTAGTGACAGGACAAGGGGTAACGGGTTAAAACTTAAACAGGGGAAGTTTAGGTTGGATATAAGAAGGAAATTCTTTCCTGTTAGGGTGGTGAGGCACTGGAATGGGTTGCCCAGGGAGGCTGTGAATGCTCCATCCCTGGCAGTGTTCAAGGCCAGGTTGGACGAGGCCTTGGGTGATATGATTTAGCGTTAGGTGTCCCTGCCCATGGCAGGGGAGTTGGAACTAGATGATCTTAAGGTCCTTTCCAACCCTAACGATTTTATGATTCTATGATTCTATGATCTTCTACAGTACATTATATGAATAGTATAGAATCTCTTACTCCTTTCACATCTGTTTTTCATTGAAAGAGGCAATAGACAGCTAGTGAAATGCCCTGTGAAATTAGAATCATGTTCATTGTTATCATGGTCTCAGAGTCAAAGATGCTGTTGCCATAAGGAGGTACGTGCTAACATGCTGACGCATGCAGCTACTTTTAAGCCCATGCAGAGGACTCCTCTTTTTGGTTTAGGAATCCAGAAGCATTAGCTGGCAGGGTGTGTTCAGTCCTTCTAGGGTACCTTTGAATAATGTCTCACCATCCATCCTCCTTTTCAAATGTTCCAGCTCACTGTATGAGAACTGTTTGGTCACTTACGTATGGTCTACCCAAACCACACCTACTACCCATGCTGCTGGGACATCATTATTGATGACGCATTTAGTCGCATTCAATCCATCTGACTAAAGCCAAGAAGGTATACTATTTCATTATGAGCAGGTACACAGAATCCTGTCATGGCAGTTTTCCATAAGTGGAAATCTATGGCTGGTTGCATTTTCTATGCAGAATCTCTGACTTATATAGGAGCACTGTAAGCATGGGAGTGCTGTGTCACTTTAATTTGGTGAAGAAGCTACTTTCATGTTGATGCAATAGCTAAACTGCAAAAGCATATCAAATTTCAAGTTTATTTCTACCCATGAATGTGGAAGGCATAATGCGTTTTCTTCTTTAGCACATAATCTTTTGTTTTCCTTGGAGTCAGCAATACTTGAGGCCTGACAACGTAAGAAGAAAATCAGCCTGTAAACTAAGTATCTTGTTTAGAACAGGGTACTAGTGAATGCTCAAATCCTGCAAGAGTTTTTGTAGCCTTGAATAGTTCAGGAGTAAACACTGTTGATTGTTTTAGTGCATTGTATAGCACAAATGCACAAAATAGCACGAACAATGAAGTCCCTAAGATGCAATCTCATTTGCTACTGATTGCTTTGGGGAAATGATTGGCTTGGAATTCTGCTGAACTTTTCGGCACCCAAAGGAAGCTTTTTCAGACAGCCAGGTCCCTCTATCATGCTTCAAAATTCAGCTCATTTCTGAGTGGCCAAAAGCTTTCATCAAATCAAGGGATGTTCAACAAATCTTTAGATTTTTCTCCTGGATGCAAAATGATGCAACTTTAAGAATAGTTTCATGGCTTGTTGGAGCATGTTTCAAATACAGAAGCTTTCTTTATTACAGTATTCTAGGGCATTCAACAGGAATGTTTTTTAATCATTCTTAATTTCTCAGGCTGCAATGCATTCAACCTCCCTATGTGGCTGGGCACTAGTCTGAACTGCAGCAGTGCAGTTGCCATGAGAAGCAATGGGGATGCTACCTTTGGCAACAAACGTAGGAAGTGCTGGGCCTACCAACTTTGCAGTCTGCAGTCAGCTTTTCTACCCTTTACTGGCATTATCATGTGTTAACTCCTCCAGAGCTCTGAGCCCTGCTTAGAATAAACACACATCAGAAACACCAAACTGGTGAAAAATGAATAATCAGGAAGGAAGCCAGTTTTTACTCAAGACTTCATGAACAGTTTTTATTGATATGTATTAATCAACATGTAGTATGTACTGTTTAAAGAGATTAAAAGCTGCCTCTTACATAAAAATACAATGTTCAGTTACAGATTTGTTTTCAGCCTGCTTCTGTAGGGCCACTAGAATAAAACCAGGAATGTATGAGATAGTATTTCTGAAAATTCTAATGTGAAAAAAACAATCATTCACCACTTGATATTAAAAAACGTAGCAAAGCAGAACAGAAGCAGTGCCCATCACTCAGTGCAGACGACTTTTATATTGAAATCATGGGAAGAAATTAATCATTGCTCTAAGTGGGGAGAACACAGCTGGGAGTGGCTGAATTGTGTCTGCAACCAAGGCAGGCTGAACAGCACTCTGTGAAGCAACTCAGCTGGATCCCTGGGCAGTGAGAGGCTGCTAACCACCAGCCTTTTAAAACACCACAGCAGTAAAAGCCCATCAAATGCCTGCAAGAAGGTGTTTGGTCTCAGGCCTAGTGGGAATTTCCTCAGATTTCAAATAGTGGGGGCCATATGCCAAGATCCCTGCAGCACTGCTCAGCTTGAAAGTAAACAGCTGAATATATTTGGCACAGCATATATACTACTGCTGCTCAAGGAGTTTTTGTAAGGGTTTTGTATGGGCAAAGCCATCATAGCACTGGAATTAGGAAAAATTCCTTTTTATGTAAGTCAATATTCTTTTGATAAATCTCTGGAAAGCATGTATAGGGAAGATATGAATTGACAAAAAAACCCTTAAAATAGATAAACATGAAGATGTGTTTTTTGTTTCAAGCAGAAATCCCCACTCCAGTCATCCATTTATATAAGGGCAACACTTCTGAGTGTGGGATAGAGTAGGATGTGCTCTTCAGTGACTGTTTTTCTCCTTTTTCATATTAACATTTTTCAGCGATAATGTTGTCAATGTTGCAGTTACTGTAATAAACAGTCTTTGCCTCAAAGTAGTTAGGTTCAAAAATGCAGATTCACATTAGCAGCCTGGAGGTCATGCTGATGTGAAAAAGGCCAGGTTCAACATGCCAGAACATTTTGGTCTTTGACACCTGGCCATGTTGCAAATGATAATTAACTTGATCTTCAGGAATGGGATTACCAAAACATTACAGTGCTAAGCAGTACCAAGACATCTACTTCAGCAGCTGTTTTGCTGGCAGACTCCAGGCAGAGCTTTTATCATAATCTTATAATAAGGTATTAATAGCAATCTCAGAGGAAACTGCTTGCTCTTTCTCGAAGAGGAATTATCAGTAACTGCAAAACTCTGTTTATGGTTTTGTACAGGATGGAAATATTGGTGACAAGGAAAGAATTCCCTGGATCCTCCTCTGCAAGTGGAAAGTCACTCCTGCACTACATGCTTTCTTCCATAGAAAAAATCAGATGTTGAAAGTCCAATAATTGGTCAACAGAAATCTGAAACCAAGACACTGGGCTTTGATAATACTTTTATATGAGGGATATTAAGAGGAATTTTTACTTTTGCAAGCTTAGATGAGAAAAAGCATCGATCCTGTATGAAATGATAGTGAGAGCCACTTACTCAGTGATGCTGCAATGAGTTCATTTTATTGCATAACAGAGGACAAATGAAGTACACTAATTGTAACAGAATGAGATCAAGTCATGAATCCCAGTCCTCTCTCAAAAGCACACAAGGCTATTCTTTCTTGTGTCTGCTACAGAAGTCCTTAGAATATTTCCGAGAAAAAAACATGTCTTTGTTCAAGGTTACAGCTCTTAAAATCTGTAATATCTGCATCTGGACTCTTTATAAAAATCAGTGTTTCTCAGAGCAGTGTGAAAACTTACCACCTAGGTTCGGTTTCTCCCAGGCACTGTGTACGTATATATTGAAGCCTACCTGCCACTGGAAAAATCTATAGCAATGCAGGTTAGATGAGCAGGTGGTAACAGAAAAAAGGCTGTATGGAAGAATAAAAATTCAGAGAACCACAGATGCCTATTGCTGGCTGATTTCTTCAGGACTCTTAGGCCTACAAAAGACCTCTCAGATATTGATCCTTTTCCTTGGTATCAAAGAGATGAACAAGTGCACTGAAGTCTGTGGGAGCTGATGGATGCTATGAAAGGCTTTTCACAACAGCACTGGCAAAGTTGCCTGCCTGTTTCTTCTGCCAGAGGAAAGGATTGTATAGCTTCACTGTTAAAAGAAACAAAACAGCAAACAAACACTGAGCAATTCTTTTAACGTGAAATAAGTATTCGGGCTGCTCTTCCCTCCAGATGTAAAGAATCCCATTGATTTTGTATGAAAAGCAGGTTCTGTATTGTTTAGGTTTGAAGAAAATAAGATGAAGCAATGTTTTTGTCAATAATTCTGAAGCTCTTACAATCCAAATGAAATCAAAGTTTCAATAGTGACATATAACAGTTAAATTTGCCTAGAATGGACATGAATTCTTCAAGATTTTCAGCACCCCAGAACAGAAGGAAGAACCAGGGAGCATTTTTGACAAATTAGACCTGAACTAATAAGATAGAAGTGATTTGACGTTGTTAAACTTGCCTTCTGTTAAGGGAAACATCTGTTTACTATAATAAAATCAATGATCAACTTCTATAAAGACAATTCAAATTCATTCAAAACTGTGCTGAGTTTTTATCACCCATAGTATAAACAGCCTATTAACATAAAAAGTAATATGTACATCTATATATCATGAAAAGATGCTGAGTCCTCCCTTTTTCCTTTTCCATATTTCTTAAGGTTATTGGAGTAATTATTTTGCTTTTCAATTAAAACAAAAAGCCATCACAAAATAATTCCTTGTCTTTGAGCATCTAAATCCTTAAATTGGGTTACTTAGGACTTGAGCCAACAGGAGGGTTAAATGAAGCGCAATAGCTAGCCAAGTAGTGTTTGCCCCTCAGATAACAGGCTGCTCATGCAGAGCTACAGGACTTCCATACAGCCTTTTTGCTAAAGCCATCTCTGACAGTGTGAAGAGGATACAAAATTCTACCAACAGATTTTTTAATCCATTTCACTCACCATTGCACAATCCTTGATTGCTGTATACCAGTGATATTATCCAAAGCAATGTTGGATTAGCACCCTGAACAACTCTTAATCTCTTCTGAGACTTACTCCTCAGCAGAGAGGTGAACTTGTTTCTACAGAGAGCCCTTTAGCTCTAGCTGTCCTGCCTTTCACAACACATTGACCCAGAGGCATGCGGCTGTTCTGGTTTGTCTGTGCTGGAGACCCCGAGGAGGATACATTTGACAGCACTGGCACCGGAGCCCGGCAGGGAAGTAGGCTAGGATGGATGGAAGGATTGCAGCACAATGCCCTTTCAAAGTCAGGTGAGTTCCTGTGGGGCTGCCAGCCCTTGCACCCCACGCGATGCAGCGTTCCCGGGGCTGTGTGGTCACACAGACTAAAGGCTAGACTTGACTGGTGTCAGCAGCAGGAAAAGGGCTAAAGCCTTCTCCTCCCTTCCCCATTGATTAATCAGTGATATGTGAAGTACTTCCTGCACAAAGACAGCATACTATTGAAATAGTTGAAAGGCTGAAACCTAATGTGGGCAGAAGGTGCAATTTTTCTTGTTATCTGAGGTTGGCAGACATGTATTTTCAGATGAATCAACTCAGTTTACTAGGCGGAGAGACAAATCAAGTCCCTGGAGATTTATACCATGGGAAATGCCTTGGAAAGTGTTCCAAGTTGTCTTTTATAAAATAACAACACAGTTTTGAGCCAGCAGCTCCTCATCTAAGTATTGATCCTTTCCTGGCATGACAACATCTTGTTGAGATAATGACATAATGTTTCCAGTGGAGCCAAAGGCACCCCAGCCCCGCTCCAGACATGCTTGAGCAGACTGAAAAGAGCAATGAGATGCAGAGTGCTGATGAATGGTCCTTTGCCTTCAACAAAGGAGAACCTGAATGCAAACAAGGATTTATTAACATAAATGCTTCTTTCACATTTTGAAATCAGTGAAAACAAACACGCATGAGCTTCAAGCTGCAATCTGGCTTATAAAACACAACAGATTTTCTTAGCTAAGTTAGATACTGAAATGTTACTGACTGCTATTTCTCTACTATAATAATTTTCTCATTAACTTTTACTGTTTTTGAGCATACTGCCAATAATTAGCAATGAAATAAAGGACATTTTCTTCTATTGTGCAGTGTGTAACAGACAGAAAATTGGAATACTCTAAAAAACTCATATAGCTGCTGCTGCGTGATTTATTCCTTCACTACTCCCATATGTTCACACTTCAACTGGCTAATTATATGAACTATGAAGAAATTTCCTGAGTTACTTTTTCCTTCGGAAAAAGACTGTGATACAGACCCCCTCTCATGAACCATGTTACAGAAGGACCCAACTCTCCTGGCTTCTCAGTGAAGAGAGACAGACCACACTCCTAGACAGGAGTTTACATCTTAAATGAACCAAAGACTATGTAGAGGTGGCCTCTTCCTTCACCTACACAAACACAAGAAAGTTCATTTTTAAACACATCAATTTAAATAAACTTGCTTCACTAAATTTCCTTTTACCACAAAGAAAGGCCCACTATTCTTTGTGATACTCCAACAAAACCACATTTTAATTGGATTTTTATATAAGATTAAACATCTGTATCTAATGTGCATTCACATATATATATGCCATGTATAAATCAATGTAATGTAACTGTTTCACTGTTGCAGAGAGTTTAACAGATAAATAATAGTAAGAAATTAGAAAAGGAATAGCTTTGAGAGCAATTCATAGGTTATGCAGCCCAAGGGACTGTTATGATCATCTTCTCTGATTTTCTACACAAAGAACATAGATTTTTCACACAGTAAAAGCCTCAATCAAGCTCAATGAATTGTAGCTGAAGTACTGCAAATTTTCAGCAATACATCCTGTCTTAATCTAAAGAACTAAATTTATGAGGAAGCTCCGACATCCCCTACCGAACCATTGCTTATCTTCACTCTTTAGACAGTATTTCTGCTTAGGTTTTTCTAGTATTAACTTCCAACCATCAAATCATGTTACAACTCTCCTACACTCTTTAATGACTGCTATTATTATTATTTGTAACTTTTAATTTTTGCCACATACAAATGCAGAGCACCAGCGATTTTGAATTTGTAGAGCATTATTAAGAATGTTGGCTAGCGTTATCTGAGAACTGATACAAACAGAAGGGTACAATGTACAAATTAATATAAATCATAGACAACAAAGGTGGAATGGGATCAGCTCGATATTAATAATATTAACAATTACAGTATTATTACTGTGGAAACAAGAATATAATATGAACTATGAATTTAAAGTTTTTGTCATGAAGTACTTATAAAACTTTCAGTATCAAAGTGTGTAAAAAAAATAGAAAAAGGTTCGTCTGGTAGAAACCTACCTGTTGTTCCCTCAGTTTCATTAGTCCAGTATAAAACACTATCTCCCTGAGCAGGTATCTCCTCTCACAAAACAAAGCCAAAAAAGATAAAACCCAAAAGTTTTCAAGCTTCATTAGTATTTCAGTATTGCTCCTGTTCTCCAGCCCATGGCTGATTTTCAGAGTTAGAGAGATTTTTGAAAAATGATGCATAACATATTTATTTCCTCTGGCTACTTGTGAAGTCTTATTTTAATGACCATGCATACTAGAATTATTACCACTATACTTCAAAATTTCAGTAGAAGAGATGAATCCTCTGAGCTCTTTCCATTTAAAATGGTTTTAACTTCTGAGGAGCTGCCTGTGATTGCCTTATCATTTTCTTTTTGAAAGCCAGGGACTCTCTGGTGCTTTTACATTAGTATTCTTAGTTCGTTCCTTGCACTAAGATTGCCAGTCCTGAAACAACTGTCAAGACTATTCAAGAGAAATGGCAAATTTTCATTCTGAGGTTTAGAAGCTAAGCTGTTCTTTCTTTTATTACTTTACAACATGATGCTACATGCTGTGTTATATAAGAAAGTGATATGAATAGCAAAATATTTCATTCTTACTTTGGAGTCTGAGTTTTCTCCCCTTAGCTGAAAAACTTGTACTATTTCTACCTTTGTTTCAAAAGTAACAAGGTCTAAATAGAAAAAAAATATGCAGGTTTTCCAATTCTACCAATGTTCTTATATTTGAGAAAACATTTACCATCTTCAGCTAATGAGTACTTTCAATTACTTTAATTCTCTAACACAGTATACCTCTTGGATAAGGAGCAACAATGCTTTAAAGCGAATATGTAAAATGCTTTGTCATTTATATCATATCTTTTCATCCAAATATTTGCAGTTACTCCCATTTTCTTTGCAATATAATTTTGCTTATATCTCCTTCTGCAACCTCTCAGCCCCTGTGTTGCTAAATCATAAACCCTTCCAACACTCTCACTAGTAAAACAAGTTGCTCAGCCAACAGCATTACTGCAGGAGCACTCAATAACTTCTTCCTACCAAAAGTCATGCTGGAAGGATCCTGTTACAAGAACTCCAACTGCAATATCTTAATTATACTCATCACTCATGTTTACATCTGCTCATATTCAAACAAGAGCATACACAAAACACAAAACCAGCAATAAAAACACAAGTAATAAAGAACAGTTAATGAGACCTGATACAGACATGCCTCTAAAGTAGCAAATTCTATTCCTCTTCAAGAAAAACAAAACATGACTTTTTGATACAACTCACTTGACTTGAATGATAACTACGATGTATTATACTGAAGATATTTTTGGAAATGCTATCTATGCAACACACTGCAAGGCCAACTGTGAATTCATATTCTATCCTGTATTTGTCATTCACCTTACAATACCTGAACTCACTCTACCACTAATCCTTTTCTACAGAAATTGTATTAATAGGATTTCAATACTGAAAACAGGTGGAACGCTAAAAAAAGAAGGGAAGAAGGCTGTTTTCAGTTTAAGTGTACTTTTCAACTGCTATGCAGAGTAACTCAGAAATGGATTGTAAAGCAAACAGTGAAACTTAATTACCTTCTAATATATATTTGGATCAAAGAGAAATTAATTGAGAGTGAAATGGGGTTGAATAGCATAGTAAAGGCTTTGCTATCCTCCAGAACACCAAGGAAAACTAATCCCTCACACAGACGCAAATGACATGAAAAAGGAAGTAACAGTGTCTTTGAGGCACAAAGAGAACTCAGTGGTAGGCTTAAATAAGACAGAGATCCAAGGAGAAACCACAAAAAAAAAAAATTAAAAAAATGCTGGTGAGGGAGCTGGATGGTCACAGACAAGACTAGAGAAAAAAACCAATCTAACTAAATCTTGCAGCATTCAGTCATAATATTGTCAGAGGACAAAGGTATGTTCTCAAGATAAACTGTAGATGCCAATTAACATACAGCTTGATGCATTCGAGCACCTGAAAATATCTGCTGAAGATAATTCATAAAAACTTGTGTGTAGTATCATGTTGCCATTCTTCTTACATGCATGGGGAGACTTAAAGATTCACTTCTAAATACCCTTTTTTTTTTGAACAAAAATATAAGAAGCCAAGGACAGGACTGATGCTAGTTGCATGCCAAATGCACCGTCTTCGTGCTGAATACGTTTTCTGAGAACAATGGAAAACACAGGCTAGCCAGAGAATGAACTAAAAGGAACATATCTTTTACAGACCTTTACAGGTCTGGAGGCTCAAAGATCAACATAAACATTCATCAGAGTTGTTACAAACCACAGGTCAGAGCAGTTTAGTATCAGCAGTCACAGAAGCAGCTGGATAACCAAGAAGTCAATAATGCTGAGAAATACTTCTCTCCACACCTGGTACATTTCCTGAAATTTGAAACGAAGTTGTCCGTCAGAACCAAAATGACCAAAACTGAGAAGCTGAGCCAAACACCTAAATCTGCTGTTAAATTCCTTCCTAGAGTTACAAGGCACTTAACCTGTAACTTGTTTCAGGTTTTCTCTTAAAAATTCAATAATACAAACTGACATGAAGAAAGAAAGCGAGGCCACTTAGCAAAATGAGTATGGATATTCTAAAAAGAAACCTGAGGGATCTGAGAGCCCTACTCACTCTCGTATTACATGCCAAAATCTAGTTTTGCACAGTTTTGTACTCCAGTTAATTACAGATGGTACTTTAAAAAAAACAAACCAATCCAAAAAGCCAGTCTGTAGATTTAGGGGAACAGGTCCAGATACCCACCTTTCACATTCTGCTGCATTTCACGTACAGCTTTTAGAATAAAGCAAAAGTAGACAGTTCTGCTATTTATTATGACTTTGGTAAAAAAGTGGTTCTGTGTCTGTCCCAAGGGATTCATGCTCTTACTGAATTTAGAGAAATGCTATTGCCTACTTCCTCATCAATAGCACTAAGCAGGTCTTCTGGCACCTTTAAAGTTCTCTCAGCAAGTCAAGATGCTTTAGCTGCA